TCTACGCAGTCCAGCCCTACACCTGGCAGCAATACAAGTCCAGTCAAAAGGACGGGGAAGGAGACGAGGGGCTGATAAGACGCAGTGCGTGGTTATTTAGGGATGCTGGCATGGCAATAACCTTAGCACAGTGGCAATGAAATTGTCTTCTCCTCAGGGGAGAGGCTTCCTCACCTGGCCTTGATTCTGAACCCACACGGTGATGTGTTCTAGCAGCTGGATCTGATACCTGTGCTTCCTTTGTTCCTTTTTGTTGTTTAGATGCTATATTTTATATTCGTTCAATTAAAAGAGGGCTGGGGAAGGAAAAGTGGAAAGCATAACACTGGTGTTGGAGGCAGAAGATACTGACATGGAGTATGTTATGAAGGATATAATCTTTTCCCAAACTGAGACAAAACCAGTGATTCCAGGCCAAAATAAAAAAAAAAAAAAAAAAAAAAGTGAGATCTCTTACCAGTCCTCCTGCTTGCTGTACCTTTATTAAATCCATCTTTCTCTTCCTTGCCTAGAATAGTGTGGGAATTGGGAAAAGGGGAGTTGAAAAGTTTCTCATGGAGATCTCTCACCTCAGAATATTCAGTAATGAAAATATAATGACTTAATATGGAATACCTTTTAATATAAATTTGCAAATGTTTTCAATATTTATGTACCCATGTCTGTGTGTGTGTATATATAGTTATGAGCAGTGATACGCTTTTTATTATACACAGAGAAGGCATTCCTCTTAAGGAGTCATCATCTTTGTATGTTTTTTTCTGACAGGTTAGTTTCTTCATTCCCTACTCCTATTATACCCGAAAAAAGCAATAGATCTGCAATATCCTTTTTTTCCTCCTGATGCCACAGTGCTACACACATTCACCCTTTCCTCTTCATTTGTCAGAAATAATGCCTGTAAGTCAAATTCTGATCACAGAGTTAATCTAGAGGAATGTATGAAAGAGATTTACAGTGAGAAAAATTGAATAGCACTTTTGATCCAAAGGTGGCTTATGGCACTTGTGAATCAGCCATTGCAGTAGGTGTTTGCGTGCTGACTGACGCTACATTGGAGTACCGAACTGAAGCTGGAACTTGCTCAGGGGCTTTAGTTCCAGTATTTAATTTTTTGCTCTGACAGCTTTTAAAAAATGCTGTGTAGGACCAGGTAGCTATGTGACTTTCAGCCACATATCCTAATCAGATTCAGAATGCTTTAAATATTGCGGTAAACTGTGGAATCTCCTCCGGGCTGCTGTTCTTCCTTTGGCACTATTTCCACTGGAAGCCTGCCACCTGCATGACACAAAAATAGGAAACTCAACCTCTGGCGAGATTTTAACGCTTTAAAACAACTGAAAGAGAGAGCATCAGTGAAGGTGAAAAGCAAGCAAGAGAAGAGTGAGACATGACAGAAATGGAACTTGGAGTATGAAGCAGGCAGAATTAGCTGTACAGAAGACCAGCTAGAAAGATAAATCTCAGATGTAAAGACAAGGAGGAAAAGAAAACAGGAAGCAGGATGAAGGAACACATAAAGAGGAGAAGGAAAAGGGAAAAAAAAAACCAACCAGAAAGACAACAAATAGCAGAGAGGGAAAGCAGACAGCAAAGGAGGAGGGATAAAGGCAGATGATGAAATCAGGGAGCAGACCTGTGAGTGGGCTATTTTTCTGTCCTACAGCCCTGAGAGAGCTTGGCTTGCTAATCAAGGTATGTGCGTGTTCACCCCCGTAACCAGCTAGACCTTATGCTGATGTCAGCAAGAACTGCCAGCTGAAGACAGAGATTGTTTCTGTTTAAAGGAGCCTCTGCAATGCACACCTAATTCCTCCTCAGGGGGTTTGGCTTTGCCCAGATGAATCCCCCTTGGCAGAGGACGTACTGGACACTACCTCAGTTCACCCTGGTGGGAGCAGCCAGGGAAAGATTTAGCCCCAAACTGAAATAGTTGCTCCCTTTATAGGTGGTTCAAAGCAAGACCCCAGCTTCACTACTTCGAACCATTTGCCCTGGAGCAGCCAATCTTTCACCATTTATTAGGAGGGAAACTTCCAACTTGAGGGTTCTTCAAGTACGAACGTACGTTGTGTGAACACCTTTCTGGTGTCTGAAACCATCGCCTGGCACACCTGCAGTCTAGCAGTTACAGGCAGTTTTTAGCACACCTCTCCTGGGAGAGGTATGATAGAAGAATTAAGTATCAGTATTATTTATTAACAATCTTTACTGACCTATCTGAAATGAATTATCGTCCTCAGTCTAAAAGACTGTCATGTGCACCACCATGCCTGGGAATCTCAGCAACAGGACCAGAAATATTTAATGAGTGTTGAGACTGTTCTTTTGTTCCTAGCCGTGATCCTTCACACCTTGGATTACTTCTGAGAAAGGCTGAATGGAAAAAGTAGGGAAATTTCCACTTTAAAGAGTTTCCTGTGACAAAGTAGAGGACTTACAAAGACTATAGAGCTGAACATTCATCATGTTTTAAATTCACTACAAAATTTGCAAAGATAAAGGCTGGGTCCAAACCACGAGGGTAGGCAGTAACTGAAACAATTATCTGATAATTACCAAGCATCTGAAATTAAGTGGTTTGATCATTTCATTCCAGTCCCTAGAGGACAAACACAAAAAATGACCACTACAGTTGAATTTTTCTCGAGCTAATGATCAGCTACACAAACAACTATGTACTGCTGATGCATTAATAGCCCATGAGCGTTCCGTGTACAATACTCAAATCCTATGTGTTTGGAGCCAAATTCTCACAAACATATTAAACAGTCAAATGATGGCCCTAGACAGACTCCTGGACTTACCACCACTGTGTTACCCCGGTTCATGACAGCATATCCCTGCCGATCTCAGGGCCATACTAACTGTGTGAAACCTGAAGGACATGGTGGTGAGCCAAGTCTCACCAATGCAGTAGTTACCTAGAAGTTATAGAATGTGTTTAGGCCAGGCTTGTACATGCAAGGAAGCACAAATTACTTCAAAACACAGTTTAAGTTTTCTGAGGCTATGACGTACTCTAGATGTGGTCCCTCTCTGCCGCAGCCCTTTCTAAAGCGGAATTTCCCTCTCCTGCCTCCACACACTAATAAGAGAAGTGTGGACTGCCAGGAGCTGCTGATACTTTTTTTGATAGCTTGGGCTGAACCCGAGGCTGAGCAAACACACGCTAGGTTAACACGGACGGGCAGTGTTCACTGTCATCAATTTTGCTGTCTTATTAGAGGGTCTGCAAGTATCTTTTACTTTTAAAAAGCTCTGAAATACTTTTTTTTTTTTTCAGTGCAGTAGTATATAGAAGCCCAGACAGGATTCAGGCCTCATTATACCAAGCGTGTTAAAAGAACTCACCAGATAAATTCCCATGAACTGGTTTAATTGTGTTGATTTTATTATATCAGTGCAGCCCAAGCAAAACAGATATACTGTGCTGGACTAACGTGGCATCTGTCCCAGTACTATTTTATACTTCTGCAGTTTTCCTTTTTCTAAATAGGGATTAAAGGGTGGTTTATCTACAACATAATGATAATCGTCTTCAAGGAGATTTTTTTTAAACTCAAGCAGCGATGAAGTGATTACTTAATTGCTCAAGATGCTGGTAATGCAGCAACTGGCATAGGTTTGATGTGCGCAACAATGGTTCAAGTATTGACTAAGTGGCAAGTCTTCATATGGATTTACACAGCAACAGCCTATTCTTAAATAGCCTCATATGTGAACACTTTTTTCCAGGAACAACAGTAATTTTCTCTGCAGCAAGAATTTTCACACAAAAAGATACTTAGAAATTGCTGCCATCCCCTTTCACATCCCCTTTAATATGAATAAACTTTTAACTGAGAAGTCACACATGCCAGAAAGCTTATACCATAAGATATAGAAAATACTATTAATCTTTAACTTCCACAAAGCTATCAGCATAGTATCATATTCAATATCATAATCATACCAGGAGCATCTCCCTAGTACAATGCTATTAAAAAAGTCAGTTTTAAAGTCAATAAGAGAGCAAACACTAACTAGAGTGAATGCCTGATGTACAAAGAGACAAATATGTTGCCTGTCCCTTCTGTCTTAAAGATATGTTTACTTTAGCTCAGCTGAATTAAAATAGGGTGCAAATAACTATTCCGGAACATCTGTATTTCTAGATGAAATCAAAAGTAAGGGAATTTGAAATGAAGGTTCATTCATCCCTTCCTTCCCTGAAACACTTTCTTGAAGACTGCCAATACTGACGCCATCAAATTTGTCATTCAAACTATCCAGGTAACATGCCATACAAATATTCAGCAGATGAGCTTTCTGGGTTCACATGGCTGTCACTGGATGACAAAATGTCTGGCTATGGAATTCTCAACTTTGTCAGTGTGTAGCAAAGTCCTTCCATATCTCTTAAGCATTTGACTACTACACAGACCTCTCCCGAGTGCTTTCGTGAATTGCTGCTGAAAGATGCTCCGCACCACCATTTCAGTTGCAGGGATGACATGGGATGGCTTGGTGCTTTCACTGGTGTTCTCCTGTGCTCCTGTCTGAGGACAGAACGAGGTGTGAGGAAAATGGCCTTTCTTCTCATTTCTCGGGAATGAGACCCATCCTTGCACAGACCCATGGGCACCGTGGGAGGCACCATGTGGAGGGCAGCATGACCCATCCACCTGAACTTCTGGAGGCACTACCCGAATCACCTTTCGGCTCCCCAGATCAGGATGAGTTGGGAGCTCAGTGGGAAATGGGCTCAGTGCTGCTGGGAAAACATTGCAATCCTTAAGCGCAGTGGTTTGGGTGATGGCCATGCAGCAGAAGGTCTGGAACGCGACAACCAGAAAGATTACTCGGCTGTTAGGGATAACATTTGTGGCTGGCAGCTGCGATTCCCCCTGCTGATTTGAAATGGTTCTCTCCAACAATGGTTCCCGCGGGATTACAACATATCCCAGCATTTTGTAACCGTCAGTGGAAGTTCTGTTTTGTTTCTCAGAACCGGTATGGAAAAAGTAGGCTTCGACAGAGGGGAGGGCAAGAGAAAGAGGCTGTCTCAAAACAATCGCTTCCTGAAAATGGGAAAATAATATGTTTATTTATACAGTAGAGAGAGTGCACTGTGGAAACAGGCAAGGACACAGGTTTCTCCACTGCTTCCTGTCTAAAGATTTGTCCGTAGCATGAGGTTCAAGCAGAGGTGAGTCACTTCATATAATTCTGTAATTTTAAAGGGTAAATGTCCAGTACTGGTGCAAAGCTCTCTTTATAGTCAATGGAGAGAAATGGTCCCTGTAGGTGAGAAAACCATACGCCTGTCTTAGCATTGGATCAGTCACCTCCCTGCTGTGGGCTGGGTCTGGGCACCTAGTTCACCTAGATGCCTAAACACAAACGGACCCAGGCCAGCTGTCTCTGCCTGGCATGGCCTGTCCTCAGATGTGCAATCCATGGATTTTACTCATAATTTACAGAAGGTTCTATGAGAAACATAAGAAGAGAAGAAAGAAAGGAACTGCAATAAAGGAAGAAAGGAAAACGCAAGGCCAATACGGAAAAACACAGAAGGCAGGGAAAATTACAATACTGGAAGCAGTATATATGCGAATGCGTAAGGGAACTGGGATAAATGGCCAGCCACAAGCAGGAAATACTACACAGGCTTCAAATTGCTGGCGTACAGGATTGCTAGAGAGACACGGAAAACTGTGACTCTTAAAAGTGTTAGTACTTTTACATAAACGTAACATCCCAACCAATGGGCCTTTCATTGCTTCCCTAAGACAACATCGAGCACTTTACCTACGTTTTCCTTTTCTTTGTCATACCCCACTATGTCTAGCTGAAATTCTATTTGACAACTTTGCCTTCAGAAAGTTTCTCCATTGTTCACTTGCTAAATTTTCCAAGAAGCCTACACTTTCAGTTATGCTTTTTCACATACATGGGTAGTGCTCCCCTCAGGCATATTTTGTTCTCGAAATCCCGTCGTTTCTCGACAAGGACAACGCAGCGCAAGTAGCTCCGGCCGCTCTGACACTGCCCAGTATCACCCCATTGCCTGCTTGCACTCTGCCCTCCACCTGCGCCTCACCGCCGCCTTACACACGCTCTGTGTTCTGTTCATACAGCGTCTTGCAAAATGGCATCCGGGCCCGCGACTGAGCTGACAAGGTAACGCGAGCACCAGTGCCCTGTTGAACGTCGCGATGCTGCCGGCGCGCCCCGTCACACCTCGCGCTTCCCAGC